GATGCCAAGAGAATTAGTGATCTTTGGTGACCATCTTATCCACATGATGTGTAGGTTCTCTGTAAAAAGATAAAGATGGTAGATGTGGAGAGAACGGCACAGGCAGACAAATGAAGAGAAAAAGGTGATATGATGAACAGTCACCCCAGGCCTGGCCTAGGACCAGCTACAGCACTATCAGTCTGTCATCCATTACTTCTAAACACCTTCTAGCCTTGCGTGAACTCTGCTGTGGTTTACGCTGGCTCCAGTTAATTTCTGTTGCTTCCTTCCAACCTAGAACATCACCTGCTTCCTGAGTTGACTCCATGGTGGGTTTGTGTACCCAGAGAAATATGCGTTACCCTGCTGTGGACTGACTGCTGGCACAGAGGTACAGGGCTGAGTCTCCTGCTTCAGAGGACTGGATTTCCAGGTTGCAGGGTGAGTTTGAGTGACATTTTGCTGAGAATCGTTCCTTGACCATGTCTATTTGTTCTAAAACTTGTTGACTCTGAAAACTAATCAAAAAATTTAATTCTTTATTGTGCTTCTGTTGATACCAACAGACAAAACTGTGCCCTTTTTCAGGGGTACAACTCATCTCTACTTTCTGCCCTTTTCCTTTAACCAGATGTCTTGGAGTCTGAATAACAGCATCAAAGGAACCTGGAAGAGAAAAAAGCAGAAGAGGTGAACACAGCCCAGAAAGGACCTTGATAAGAACAAAGGCTGGAATGTGTGGTGGACAGTCTCAGGACAAGGGCTTTCCTTGTGTGCTCTGGATTCACCTGCTCCCAGGAGAAGGAGGGCTACACAGCAGAGCAGCCTTGCACCCATGGTTGCTTCAAGGTAGGAAAAGGATAAGGTGTTTTTACTCCTCATCAGCAGCCTTCCTGTGACGTGGTCCCTTTACATACTCAGAATTATCATGTTGCGGCCACTCCTTAAATACATCATGATGTCACTAGGAAAGCTTTTACACTAAGCTAACAAATGCAGCCTGATAATATTTCATACATTCAAACATACTT